GCTTCAGTGCATTTGTCTACATGCTAATTCACTTCTGGAGGTATATGTCATATGATTATATATACAGGGTGTCCCGCGAGAATTTACCCATTGCGATATCTCACGAAATAATGGAGATATCAAAATTCTGGTTTTATAATAAGATTCACAGGGATAAGAACTACAATTATTTCATTTTTAGATTTATTTTAATGTTTTTGTAAAAAAAATTAAAAAATATATTTATTTATTTAATTTTTTCCAAAAAAAATAAAGATAGCCATTTTGTAGTTTGTTTTTATGAGAATATTGACGTTTCAAAATGTTATTTTCATTAATTTTCTGATTTTTAAATATTTTTTCTAGTTTTGAAGAAATAAAATATTATGATTATAACTATTAGGAACACGGAAAGTATTTTTCCGGTCGTATGGGAATGTACGCAGCGCGGTGGGTGATATATTTAATAACATTACGGTGTTAAATAATTCGCAATTTTTCTCAAAACGAAAAAAAAAAATTAAAAATCAGGAAATTAATGAAGATAACATTTTGAAACGTCAATATTTTCAGAAAAATAAACTACAAAATTGCTATGGTTAATTTTGTTGGAAATAATCAAATTAAAAAATATATTTTTTAACTTTTTTAGCAAAACATTAGAATAAATTAAAATTTGAAATAATTGTAGATCTCTGTGAGTCTTAAATACAAAACCAGAATTTCTATATCACCATTATTTCGGGAGATATCGCAATGGGTAAATCCTCATGGGACACCCTGTATATACAACACAATGGCCTTAAAGAGTCTTTGAGTGTACTGTACAAATTATATTTACACTTAGACATAGGCCAATTTATCATACTATGTTCTCAACAACTTCCAAAATAATGATGAATGATAATAATCATAAAAAATTAAATACCTGATTATTGAAATGATGGCCTCTTGTGGTCTGTTTAATTCTGCAATTTTAACCAATGTGTGAATGTCCATAATAAACATAGCATATACATTGTGTATCGACATAGATTAAACAWACATATGTTTAATCTATGGTATTGTTAAAGTCAATGAAAAGTATACTGATATGTTCGATTTTATGCAATATACTAATAATCTTTGTTAATTCATAGGTAATATTCTAAACACAAAAATACAATACTAATAGCACAACGTTTTCGTTTATTAGAGTAAAAATGTGATGTTTAGTCTGTTAAGCACAAAAAAACAAAACAAAATAGTTTTGTTTTCATTAAAAATATATATATAAAAAAAAAAAAACAATTACATAGATACAATAAACTTTGGGATGAAATAAACTTGTGAACATCCATAATTAGAAATCAAAATTAGTTTGGCGGATAAAAAATAAA